AGAGCCCAGCCAAGACCCCACTTCCTCACCCAATCTCTGGGGGGGCCCCGGAGCAACACCCTCCCTCCCTGTCCGCCTGCAGCGGAACTCGCTTGGATGTTGGAGAACCTCAGAGGCGTATTCAGGCAGGCGGAGGAAGGAAGGAAGGAAGGAACAGAAGGGTCTTTCTTTTTCCCTCCCACATCCAACGCAAGAGGAGAAGATGCTCGGGAAGCAAAAACTCAGCAGGTTTTTTTTGTTTCGTTTCGTTTTTGTTTTTAATCCTGTGACATAATCTTTTATACCTACCTTGTATTCTCGTTTATACACGTCGGGGAGCCGAATTTTGTCGAGAGGCTCCTGCTTCTTATGCGATTTTGTGACTTGTGAACTTGAGAGGTATCTCTGAACGCCTTGCCCGGCATTTCTTCCCTCGCACGCTCGCACATGCGTGTCTCTTCCCCCTCTCACAAGCAGTATTAATGGAACATGGGGGGCTTGTGCACCTCCTCCCTTTCTGGTCCCTTTGTTGACTGGTCTGTCTTTCCACACCTCCTTCGTGCCACTCCTGTGCTCCGAATGTGCTGGCACAACCTTTCTCTTGGAAGCCCGGTTTTTGGGACGGGGCGACTGGCAACTGCAGGGAGCAGCGAGGAACCCAGAAGCAAAACGGGCCCTGTTTTGCTGGTGGGGAAAATAATGTTCAGAGTCCTGATTCTGGAAGGGTCTTTCCCATTCTCTGAAAGGAGGAAGAGAGCTCTGGTTTAATTGTGGAGGTCATCAAGGGAAGCTGGCTGGAGTGGCCTGCCTTTTTTCAGCGCTGGGACCCCGGCCTGGCCACCCTCGGGCCTGTGCGGTTCACGTGGGCTGTGCCTCTCTCCAGCGACCCCCTTCCCAATCCGTGTTAAGGCCTTTCCTCTTTCCTTGTATGCGCTTTACGATGGGGACACTTAAAAGCCATAAAAATTGCACAAAGAGCATGCTGCGTTTGTCCTCCTTGTGATTGCCAACCCCACCATTTCCTCCTTCGCGTCACCCCCCCAAGGTAAACGCGCAGTTCTTCCCTGAAGCAGTTTTTCCAGCCACGTTTATTTTTCCATTCCAAGGGGGGAAGAGAAGATTTTTCCCCCTCCCTCCCTCCCTCCCTCCCTTCATTGAAAGCTTGTAAATTCCTCTCCCCCCTCCCCATTTTTTAGGAAGTGAGCAGGAAGACAGCGCCAAGGCACCTCTGTGGGGATCATGTAGTTCTTGAAATGGGCACACAGGGGAGCTGGATCGCTGAGCACAGATCTGGAAAACCTCTGCTTTCTAAATTAAAAAGGAAGGAGGAGAAACAAGTTCCTAGCCCTTACGTCGGAGGGGCTCAGCTCAAAGCTCCCTGGGCCAAATCTCAGAGTTTAGCCTTGGGCCCTGGCCTGCAGAAGCCGAATCGATGCTGTGAAATGAATGATACTCAATTTTGTCTTCAAGGCGAAGCTTCTGCAGCCTTGGCAGCAAGAAATTGCCCTTTCCCGGCTCCTGAGGACGTAGCTGGGTCTCTCCCTCCTTCGCAGCTTGGGGGTCTTTTTTTGGCGAAGGAACGCTCCGCTTAGCATCCGTTTTCCGAGGCGAGGAGTAAGCAAAGGCCGCTGCTCTGCCTTGGTCTCTGGACAAAATCTGGTCCCGGCTGCTGTTCAGATCCAGACTTTCCCCCCTGCCCTTTGTCTGTGCTATCCTCAGGGGAGACAGGGAAGAGAGATGCGACGTTGCTGTGGTTTGGCACCACTTTGCCGCCGGGACGGATAAGGGATCCGGGTCCAGAACGGCTTGAGTCTTCACCGGTCTCTCGGACCCACGGCTGTTACAAGCCGAGCCCTCCTGGCTGGTTTGGGACTGGCCGTGGCTTGGCACAACACGAAGACTGACAGGCGGGGTTGGTTTGCAGCTTCCCGGCCCCCCCCGGGGGTTGTCTTTT